ATTGAAACAATACATCACATTGAATGTCTTCCAAACAACAACATATTTCTGAAAAAGGAAAAAAAACAATAATGGCCGAAACCAAACTATTTTCTGGCATGCAACTATTCACCGAACAATAGTATTAATTGTCCACCTTATTTTGTGATTCATATGTTTTGAGCACCTCCATTACATATGTTGCAATTCCTTTAATCATTTGTGTGTCACTCTGTATTGCATGGATATCACGATATTGCATATAAACTGTTCACATAATCCCCAACGCAAGCTGTAATCACTGAAACGCAAATATTCGCAGAAATAAAACTAATAGCGCCGAGAGATTAGACTACATACATTACAGGTGTAGAAAATAATTTATGAAAAATTATTTGCACCCGTAGCTCGGTGCGGTTAAACGGCTAGTGTGTGTGTGTGTGTGTGTATATATATATATATATATATATATATATATATATATATATATATTAATATATATATATAGCTTCATGTAAGACGGCCTAATTGTATGAGACCATGAGACCATTTTTTTCTATTGAAATATTCTAATATTCTAGTGTTCATAAAAATTAAATATGTGTAATATTCTAATATTCTAAAACAATAATTTTAATATATTTTACATTGAAATATTCTAAAACATATAATGTTAGAATATATTGCATATTCTATTTTTACGAACAATAGAATATTAGAATATTTCAATAAAGAATTTGGTCTCACGGTCTCACAAAATTATGTCAATGAACTCTTACCTATATATATAAGATCTACAACGAACTCCCGTTTAGGGAGTGAACCAATGAACTGTGCATCTACCAGATGCATAATTTTTTTTTATTTCCAGTCGGCCTCTCCTCTCCTCCAGATGGTGCCGCCTCCGCCATGGAAACATCCACGAGAGAACGAGAACACAAGCATTCATCCTCTATCATTCTCATCGCACCACCATAACCATCACTATAGCCCTTCACCATCATCACTATCATCTTCACAACAACACCATCTCAACTCCATCGTCATATTGAGACCCACCTACAATCAAAAGAATTACATACATACAAGAAAATACGTAGACAATAGGGAAGGGTGGAGAAACCTGGTGTTGGGTCAAGGTACGTATATTGATTACGACTAATTTTTGAAATTATTCATCATGTTCATCCATGAACATATCGATTTAATTAGTTTGCTATAATGTTATTATGATTAGATAATCATCCAAATATCCTTAATGTTCGAAAATCATCATTTTTTACTATATGAATTAATTGATCCTTAATGGTTTGCTTCATGCACACAACCTGTTTGTGAAAATGCTTTTGACCTTAATCTCACGTAAAATTATGTTTAGCCTTCAGTATAATACAAATTACAACTTGAGTAAGTGGATTACCTAAAATCAAGAAGAGGGAGGAATAGCTTATTATGTTTAAGTGATAATTCTACAAGTCCAACACACTTCCTCAATTCAACTGTGTAATGTTCAAACAGAAAATAAAGGATGAGTTACATGATGTAGATTTGTTCTATACCCATAAAAATTTCCTATACATTTGGAATTTATAACATGTAATTGCACATTGTAACTTACACAATATTACTATATCTTAAGTTCTAGGTTCTATTTTATAAAAAGAGAACATAGTTATTTTATAAATAGGAAAGAAATTAAAATCAAAGATTGAGATTCAATGCTTGGATTCACCATCGATTGAACACCAGAGGTTTGAATTTCAAAACTGAATTCATTACATCGAACAAATAGATAAAAAAAACAATGATCAATCATATGCATAAGATTTATTTTCTAGTTTTTTACTTCAAATTAATTATTTTTCAATCTCTCTAATCCAAACAATATACCTTTTGTGTTTACAGGATCTTGGACTTGTAAGAGGCAAATTTACTCATGTCTCAAGTGGATTTGCATTTTTACATTTTGATTCGGTAATTTTATAGACTTCTCACTTGTCTTGCCGATGCTGCAAAAATAGCCAATATACCCTTACTTCCTTATCTTAGTATAATTTCTTATCAAAATTTATTCTTTTTAACTATCTATCCAGCCACGTAATTCGGCCATACAAACTCCAGTTTGGGCAAACTTTATATCGTTTGAAACATTGTTAGGACTACTACAAGTTCCATCTTATTTGTTTCGTCTGAATATGTCTAGAACGGGAGTTATTCAACTGTGAACTTGGCAAGTCGGAATATTACAGCATTTCAAGTGTTTGAACAACCAACTTCAAACGACCATATCTCATTCATTATATATCCATTTTGTCTGATTCTTTTTCTAGTGTACTCTTCGTTTTATAGAATACAACTTTGATTTTTAATTTTCTTTATATTTAGCTATATCGACTTATTAAGCTCTAAAGTTGACACATTGCAGCTGTCAAATTCCCAAATCAGTTTTTCATTAATTTTTGTCCAACTTTGCAACCAAGTAGATTTTGCATATGAACTCCTTCTAAGCTGATTCTTTTTGCCATTGCTTCATTTTCAAGTCTAATATAAGTTACCTTTATACCCTTTTCCTTTTCCTTTCCTCCAGGGTTGACTTTTATGGTCTCAAAGTTAGCATTTTATCACTTTTACATGAAATTACAAATTTCAGACTCTTTTCCATTTTTGCCCTTAAACTTAATCCATTACACCATAAACATATAAAACTCATATAACTCATATAATTTTTTACATATTTACTATTATATCCCTTGTTGGTTATGTAAAATAACCAATTTATTCTCTTTGACCATTTTGCCCTTTATTGCTATTTGTCAATTTCCAACTTATTTCCTTTTCTTTCTCACATTCTAAACCTCCAGATTTTGGGATGTTACACATATTCATATAGTTATTCATATGCATATGCATATAGTTATTCTTATGTATATGCATATGCATATACTTATTCTATACATAAGCATAATACATATGTATTTAATAACCTTATGAATATACTTATTCTTATGCCGATGCATATACTTATGAATATGTATATGCATATACTTATGAATATTCATATGTCATATACTTATTCTTATGCATATGCATATACATATACATAATCATATGTATTTTATTTTCTTATGTATATACTTATTTTTATGCTTATGCATATGCATATGTATATGTCATATACATATGCATATGTATATACATATGCATATGTATATGCATATGCATATGCATATGTATATGCATATGCATATGCATAATCATAAACATATGTATTTAATTTCCATATGCATATACTTATTCTTATGCATATATATATATATATAGATATATAGAATATATATATATATATTATATAGATATATATATATTATATATGCATATATTTATTCATATTTATATCTATATCTATATGCTTACTCTTATGTATATATAGAGGCATTAAAAGTGTTTTTTTTTAATAATAATAAGCATGTGCATATGCACATGTTTTTTAAAAATATGCATATACACAAAAAAAAACTATACTTTAATACTTGTATGATTCATTTAGGGAGTTTAGTCAACTTAATGACCATTTTAATGGAATCAACCATTCCATTCCTTCTCCTATTAATATCATTACGTATAATCTTCATATTTAGTTTTTTTCCTCCATTAAACGACCAAGTTTTTCACTTTTTCTTTTATTAACAAACAAAACTATACTCCAATCCTCCAAAGAGCAAGCATCTACTTCATAAGTATATGTATATATACATATTTTTTGAATATGCATATACTTATTCTTATGCATATACTTATTCTAATTCATATGTCATATTATGCATATGCATATGTATATACTTATTCATATACATATGCATGTAATTATGAATATGCATATGCATATGCATATGTAAGCATATACATATACATATGCATATGCATATGTCATATACATATGCATATGTATATGCATATACATAAGCATAATCATATTATACATATAAATACACATATGTATATGTATATGCATATGTATATGTATATGCATATATTTATTCATATTTGCATATGTATATGCTTATTCTTATGAATATGTCATATTATAAATACGAATATGCATATGCATATACATATGTGTATGCATATGTATATACTTATTTTTATGCATATGTATATGCATATGCATATTCATATGCATATACATATACATATGCATATACATATGCATATGCATAATCATATGTATTTAATTGCCATATGCATATACTTATTCTTATGCATATACATATGCATATGCATATACATATGCATGCATATGCATATGTATATGCATATATTTATTCATATTTATATGTATATGTATATTCTTACTCTTATGCATGTATATAGAGATATTAAATGTGTGTGTGTGTTTTTTTTTAAATAATTATTCGCATCTAGGTTTTTATGTATGGGTTCGTTTTTTGTTTCAGCACTTACTCACTTAAAATACAATAAACTTGCATGGAATATGAAGAACGAGAGTGTATTCTACTAGAATAGAGAATACACTCTCATTATGCTAGAATACACTCCTATTCTTCTAGATATTAATTCATTCTGAAAGAATATTATTGTTGACATTAATGACGAATTTAATTAGTTTCTATAAAAAATAATTATAAGTATGGATATCATTTAATATACATATAATTTTTACTAAATTTTTATAGGTGCATGCTAGCACACAATAAATGTGAGAAACATTTGAACCTACCTCTCTCACTCACTCTCTCTCTCTCTCTCTCTCTCTATATATATATATATATATATATATATATATATATATATATATATATATAGGTAAAAGATCAAATGAGAACCATTAAAAATTAAGAACTCTAAGAACCATTTTTTAGCTCAGTATTATAGTTGATTTTAATTATTTGATTATTTTTATGTTTTGATAAATAGACAAAATCAATATGGGCTTGATGGTAATTTTGAAAAATTAAAATTAAAACTCATTATTATGTATCAGATATCAAACACTCAAACCCTCAAACTCTCTCACCAAACTTGAAGAACACAACAACCTTACCACCAACCACCACAACACATCCGACGTGTCGTCGCCGCATCACCGTGTCGCCGCCTCCTACCACCGACCAACCACCCCCATCATATACACATGTTCCGACCGGTTCTAGATATATATTTTCAACTTCAGATCCACGATTGTCGCCGCTAGATTTGTGATTTTCCGTTCCAGATCTACAAGCTCCAGCAAGCGATGAAGATCCACCACTATGTTCAATGATTGTCACCATTGTTGTCGTCGTCCTTCGATCTCTGGTGAACAATTACTAGATCTGATGCAGACCTGATGTGTTTCAGGTTAGATCTCCAGTGAAACATTACAGTCTACGACGCATCCGAGCTCATTCGTACTAGATCTGTCATCGTTGTTTCTTCCACCGCAAGATTTAAAGTTGTCTGGTCCAGATCTATGATTTCTGCCACCACAAATGTCCAAATCTATGAGCTCTGGTCTAGATATACGATTTTTGTCACTACCTAGTACCGACGTCCAAATCTTCAAGCTCCGACGAGATATGGTTTTGTGTTCTTCATGTCTCAGATTTGGTGAAGCACCACCAAATCGTCTCCATCTCTTTTTTCTCTGATCTCTGGTGAAACACCACGAAATCTACATCCGGTATGTTCATTTTTGTTTTTAGTGTTTTTTCTTTAGTTAAAATGTGAATTGAATGTTTTAATCTCTAATATTAGTTTCAACTACAATTAAGTTGTGAATCTACTGCTATTAAATTGTGAATCTAAGTTTGTTTTCTTATTTGTTATGTTACTTGCATAAAATTGTTGTTCATAACTTAGGTTTTTTAGTTGTTATCTTGTGAACTGAATTTAAAAAGTATAATAATACTAGTGTTTTTGTATTTTCTCAAATAATGTGAATCAATATTTTTTTAGTTGTCAATTGTAATGTTTAAATGTTTTACTAATTGTTTACAAAGGCGATTTTACACTTTAGCAGGTGTGTCAATGAACACACCTTGGTTTGAAACTTTTATGATATTCTATATTGTATTTTTAGATGTACACCCAAGTATGAAGGCACATAAAAAAATCAAACTAAAATAATTAGCCATAGTTAACAAAAATAAATAAATCTTTCTTCTATAAATAATACCATAAGTTATATCAGATATCATGTGTCAGAATAAATTTCGGATTTTTGATAATTTATGTTTGTAAAAATTAAATTACAAATATAGAAGGTAAAATAAAATCAAAAGAGGGGAAAACGCAAAAAAAAAAAACCCTAAAAATCGAAAATTACATGGGTTTTTTCATTTTTGTTCTTTGGAGACCAGCGAAGTCGACCTCTTTGCCCATCTCTGGCCATTGCCGTCAGACCAGCTCCGGCCGCCTCCGTCTTACCATTTCCGCCCTATTCAACTCTTCATCTCAACCCTTTCGTCTCTATATCCAAACAGATAATGCTCTTATTTTCTTGAATATTGAGGTAATTCCATTCTTGTGTTCGTATCTTGAAAAGTCTAACAGATAAAAAAGAAAGAAAGATAAAAAGAGAAGTATAGTAGGAATAGAGGTATAAAGAAAAAAGGGACAGAAAGTTAAAAACTAGTTTTGACCGTTTTTGACATTTTTAAATTATCAAATTATCAAATCTCTATTCTTAGATAATTGTTAATTTATATATCTTTTGTACATTAAAGTAAATTAAAGTTTATAATTTGTATTAATAATTTAAACTAACATAAACTTTATTGATTTTAACTGTTTAAACATGTCTTCATTGTTTCTAATTTTCGTATATGGTCTACTATCTTTATAATTTGGTTAATTTTATTCATATATTAGACTACTATCTTTATAACTTGGTTAATTTTATTCATATATTAGATTGATTATTATAAGTTTGTCGAGATTAATCTTAGATGGTATATTTAATAATACGATCCGATAAAAATCAATTAATTTTGTCATTTCAACTACTTTGGACACCTGTTAGTTTGAATCCTAGATTCATCATTGATTGTTTAGTCTTGTTAATGTTAGTTTAACTGTTATGAATAACAAAATATTAGTTTTATGTTGTGAATACATGATTTTTTATAAACTTTAAGTTGTGAATATATGATTTTCTTTTATAAGTTTTAAGTTGTGAATACATTTTTTATATTTACTTTTCTACTTAAATATGTTGTAGTTCTCTATGATGCACTTTTTTTATCATTTTTCCTTCTGTTATGGTGTAAATTTAATGTTTTAATATCTCATTTGTTATTTTCTTTTGTTAATCTTAGTTTTAACTTCTATTAAGTTGTGAATCCAAGTTTGTTTTCTTATTTGCATAACTATGTTGTTCATGACTTATGTTTTTCGGTTGATGTGTTGTGAATTGAATTTAGAATGTGTGTTATTATGTTAGTGTTTTCTCAAATAATATGACTCTAAGTATTTTAAGCTGTGAATTATGATGTTTTAATGTCTCACTAGTTGTTAGTTATGTTAATGTTAGTTTTAAGTTTTATTAATAAGAAAATATAAGTTTTATGTTATGAACATATGATTTTTTATAAGTTTTAAGCAGTAAATACATGATTTTTTTTATAAGTTTTATGTTGTGAATGCATAATTTTTTAAATATATATGAATATCTTTTTTGTAGAGACCACAAGGCGTTTGATGATTTGCTTTACTGAAAAACATAACTTTTAAGCTCAATGAAAAACTTAAGTTTAAGCTGTGAATGCATGATTTTATACATATTTGATTGTTTCTATGAAAGAAATAAGTTTTAAGTTGTGAATGCATGATTTTTTATACAAATCTGATTGCTTCAATGAAAATATAGGTTTTTAAGTTGTGAATACATGAATTTTTATAAGTTTTATATTTCTTGTGTTAGTGTTTTCACAAATAATGTTAATTTAAGTTTTTTTAAAATGTGAATTTTGATATTTTAATGTTATTGTTTATCTCTTTTATTATTAGTTTTAACTGTTAAGAAAATATTATTCTTTAGTTGTTAGTGCATGAATTTTTATAAGTTTTAAGTAGTGAATGCATGATTTTTTTTATTAAGTTTTAAGCTATGAATACATGATTTTTTATACATATATGACTGCTTCAATGAAAGACATAAAATTGAAGTTATGAATGCATAAACTTTTATACAGATTTGATTTTTAAATGAAAAAGATGAAATTTAAGTTGTGAATGCATGATTTATTATAAGTATTAAGTTGTGAATGCTTGATTTTTTTATACAGATCTGGAAGGAAGGAAGCAAGGTGGCGGTGGTCGCACCGGTGGTTGGCAACGGTGTGTGGAAGTTGGCGGTGGTAGAGTTTGGGTTGCACTCTTTTAATATGTGAATTTGTGTATAATGGATTACAGTAAGTTTTATTTATTAACGTAAAAATGGACTGAATTAAGTTGCATATTTTATATAAATTTTGTGTTAAAATATGAATGAAGGTATGTATGAAAAATACTAAACTCTGTATTGGTGAATTACTATGTTAATTAAACTATAAATATTGTATTTTAACTATGAATATTTCTTATACACGATATATATTTTTTAAAGAAACCTACAACTTAGAAAACAAAAAATTAATTTTTTCAAGACATAAGTATTTTTTTTTTACTAAAAGTTTGAATATTTTGGCTGGAAAAATAAAAAATATTACCAAAAAAATGGAAGCTACAATGTTTAATTTATTAAGCTGTGAATACGACTAGAAAAATGCCACTGAATTTAATGTTAGTCCGATGATGGTCCGACAGTGGTCCGACGACAAGTTGCAAGTAGTTTGTAAATTAGGGAATGAAAATTTTGTTTAATACAATATAAATGTTGAATTTTTCCAAAATACTCTTAATGAAAACATTTAGAAAAATGGTTTTTATGGTTCTTAATCTTTTTGGTTCTTATTTGAACCTCTCCATATATATATATATATATATATATATATAATATATATATATATCTTATATTATATATATATATATATCTATATATATATAGAGAGAGAGAGAGAGAGAGAAAAGTTCGATAGAAAACCATTATTAATCTAGGAACGAATAAATCAATTTAAAGCGTCAGAATTTAAATCGATCAACGGCAAAAGGAAATGTTGTAGACTTTTACAATAGACACACATGCACCGGATTAAAACAAAACCCACTTCATTTTTTTTTCGTTTAATTTTTTTAAGCCATGTTTTTATCGAAAAAAAACCGAATATACCATTGTTCATGATTTTTCGTCATCTTTCCATAGATATCCATATTGATATGCAATTTTTTTTTTCAAAAAAACTCACTTCATTTCTTTGTTTTTCGAAAAGTTAAGGCCTATTTTTTATCGAAAAAATTTAATAAATATATCAAAATTCATATTTTTTGTACTCTTTAAACATAGATTTATATAGATTTATATAGATTTATATTGATGTAAAAAAACGAAATTTCAGTATAGATTCACAGTGTGAATCTGTTCAGATTCACAATGTGAATAATAGTAAGTCAGATTCACATTATGAATGTTAAAATTGATCTATTTAGAGTTCAGATTCACACTGTGAATCTGAACTGATCGAGAATTTTTTTTTAATCGATGTGGATGTTAATTAATAGAGTACAAAAAATTGAAAATTTTGGTATAATTAGTTTTTTTTTTGATAAAAATAAACTTAAATATTGAAAAAAAAACAACAAAACGAAGTTAGTTTTTTTGAAAAAAAAAAGTTTGTTTTTTAGATATCAACATGGATCTTTATGGAAAGAGAACGAAAAATCGTGAACAACGGTATATTCGATTTGTTTTTCCGATAATAGACGTGGCTTAAAAAAAATTTAACCAAAAAAAAGGTGATTTTTTGGTGAACAGGTGAGTTTTGTAATATAATATGGTGTATGTGCGTCCAATGTACAAGTGTACAACCATTTCCTTGGCCGCTGATCGCTTTAAATTTCGACACTGATGATTGGTTACTTGTTAATAATGGTTCTCTATTTAACATCACCTTTTATATATATATATATATATATATATATATATATATCTTATATATATATATATATATATATATATATATATATATATAGGGGAGCGTTCAATTGAGAACATTTCTTATTGCGAGAACATTTGAGAACAAAAATCTTATTTAATTTGAAAGGTGACACTTTTGTAATTAAATCAAAAATTAGATGCGAATAAATATATTTATACAAATAAAAAATAATTAAAAACAATTAAAAAACTCATTAA